GTTCGGCAAGGCAGCTCTTAGCTGTGCTTACAAGCAGAACCTCCAGCTGCTAAAGCAGTGTACCTGAGGAGACGAGGAAGAACTGTTCAGAGTTATTTAAAAACCATTGAACTTAGACTATGGTGTGTATGTGCGCCTTCAAATCATTTCCAGCTTGTGTCAACCCAAAGGCCTATGAACCTATCATGGGGTTTTCTTAGCAAGGTTTGTTCAGAGGTGGTTTGCCATGGCCTTCCCCTTCTTTATTCCCAAGTTGGGGGCAAAACAACAGCCTGAAAGGGTCCCCGAGGGGAGGATAGGTGTGGGAGTCCACTGGCCATCCCTTGGCTCTGGTTTAGGTGGCTGGATGGCCAGAAGCAGATGGCATGTATGGGTATCTTACACTGACATTGGACTTTTTGTTTTACATGAACAGACTTATTTCCTTAGCATTCAGGCCTCAGGGTTTTCAGTTTGGCAAAACACGTCTCATACTTCTTCAGAGTAGGACCAGCTGTGCGCTGAAGAGGAAAAAGACAGGAGCATTGTTATTTGTCCCTCCACATTCACTGGGGTCAGGAGCATAGGACCCCTGTGAATGTGGAAAAACCGCAAATAACAAAAACACTTATGTTTTTACCTGAGGGAACACCTCTCTATGAATCTCTAGGTCCTCCAGTGCAACTCTGTGGTCAACATTTGCCAGACATTGACCATAGAATCGCACTAGGAGCCTAGTGGAGTCTTCTCTCTAGGAATCTCTAGATGTCCTTCAGTGTGACTTTTGCTTAAAGTTGACCATAGAGTTGCACTGGAAGACCTAGATATTCCTAGAGATAGCATATTAATAAAATCCGTGAATATTCAAACCTGCAAAAGTCAGAGCCACAAATGTGGAGAGTCGAGTGTAGTGATGATGATGATGATTATTATGATTATGATTATGATTATGATAATCATCTTTGGAGGAGAGTGAAAAATAAAAGGGAAAGAAGAGAAGAATTAAAAAGGCAATCTAGATAAGGAATGGAAAGGCATCAGAGAAGATACCTGGCGAATTGTGGCTGCTGTGGGGCTCCCGAGAAGCAGGATTTTGTCCTGGGCAGACATTTTGCTTTCTTCCAGAAAGGCAGCTCTTAGCTGTGATGGTTACAAGGAAAACATCCACCTGGTAAAGCAATGTACCGGGGGAGAAAGGAGGGAGAGCTGTTCAGTTATTTAAAAACAGAACATAAAGTATGATATAAAATACATTAAATATCGTATGATTTTTAAATATGGCATGGCCGCTCTTATATTAGATGAAGTACCAAATATAAACGTAGTACTGAATATAAAATGAGGCTGAGGGGGAGCCTGAACCCTTTTGCTGATTCCCCCCCCCCCCGGAGGAACCCCATAGACTCAGTGGGGTTTACCTCTATGTTAAACACACTTATTTCCTTAGCATTCTGGTTTCAGGGTATTAAATTAGGCAAAATGTGGGTCAAAATAGCATTTGCAGCTCCCCCAAGAGGTGAATGTGGGGTGGGGGGCTCAGTAGGGATGGTTGGAAGGAGCCATTGCTGACCTGGAGCATCTCCTGCCTCAGGTGAGGGGGGCTCTCATTTTGCCTCAGAGTAGGGCCAGTTGTGCCCTGAGGAGGAGAAAGACGGTAGCATTGTTAGTAGTGTTTATTATTATTAGGAATAATTTATTATTAGGAATAATTTTTGGAGGACAGTGAAAAATAAGAGGGAAGGAAGAGAGGAATTAAAAAGGCAAGGTAGATGGGGAAGGAAAAGGCCTAAGCAGAAAAAGATACCTGGGGACCCATGGATACTGTAGGGCTCCACACTTGGAGGCTCCTGGAAAACAGGATTTTGTCCTGGGCAAACATTTGCTCTCTTCCAGCAAGGAAGCTCTTAGCTGTGGTAGTTAGAACCAGAACCTCTACTTGTTAAAGTAGTGTACCCAAGGAATGTTCAGTTATTTTAAAACTTCTGAAAGTAAAATATGACATATATTAAATGTGGCATGATGTATTATATGAAGTACCCAAAGTAAAAGGCTTAATAGTGCGCTCTACCTTGTTTTTTAATCTATATGAATTCAATTCTGTTGATAGTTTGATTGTATTTTAACTGCTGAATATAAAATATATTTAATATAGGATAATACCTATTATATTGCATGACTACTGAATACTAAACTGTATGAACTCTGAATGCAGATAATCCTGAACACTGAACTTCATAGTGTGCGGCACTGTTCTTGTTTCTTACTTTTTAATCAATGTGATTTCAATTCTGTCGTTTATCTTACTGATAAGAGCTTTTAGGAATATCTATGAATTTCTGCAAATTTTTCTTGAGTTCTTTTTGAGGGCTTGGAGAAAGACAGAGTATTGTTACTGATGTGTGTCTTCATGTAATTCCCTACTTACGGCGACCCTAAGGCAAACCTGTCATGGGTTTTTCTTGGCAAGATTAGTTCAGAGGAGGTTTGCCATTGCCTACCCCTGAAGCTGAAAGCATACAACTTGCCTAAGGTTACCCAGTGGGTTTCATGGCTGACCAGGAATTGAACCCAGGTTTCAGAGTCATAGTCTAACACTCAAACCACTATGCCACACTGGTTCAATATCACATATCTTTACAGTGTAGGAAAACATCTGTGCTCATTACATATGCCTAAGTTTCATTAGCACAAATGTTGACTTGATGGTGTTGGTTTTGAACAGCTTGGGAATAAATAAAATAATAATGATAAAAATATCACATAGCTTTACAATAAGGGGAAATATCTGTGCTCCTTAAGTATGCCTAGATTTCATTAGTGAGTTGATGCGTTGGTTTTGCACAGCTAGAGAATGCATAATTGAAGATATCCTGAATCAAGCAAAAGTCTTAATTGAAACAAATGTCAAGGTGGTTTTGTGTAACAGGGGCTTATGGAGAATGGGGCAGTGATGAAAGGAATCATGGGGGGATGGTATGGGCTTTGGGTGAGGAATGGATATGAGATGGCTCATTGGTGGTTCTCAGGTGAAAAAGCCTTCCCAGCCCTCTGATCTGTTTTGCTCAAAAAACCAGCCTTTCCTTCAGGGAGGAAGCCTATGTTAGAATCTTTCAATTTCTTCTTGCCAATATAGCACACTAATCCATAACACAGCAAACATATCTTTGCTTTGCAGAGTTTTGGACAGATGCTGTTCAGAAGTTCTTTGCTCTGAGACAGAAGAGAACACAGGAGTATCTTGGGTCCCCTTGGCTGTTTCATTGGATGTTGGTCCAAAGATGGATGACTCAGTTGGACCTGAAACAGAAGAAGGAGGCTCTGATGGCATCCGTGCCAAGAGCAGTGGGAAATTCTGGGAAAGAACCATGCAAATGTTTCTGAGTGAAGACATGGCCAGGACAGACATACAGCGTCAGCACTTCAGGCAGTTCTCCTATGAAGATGGTGAAGGGCCCCGAGATGTTTGCAGCCGACTCCACTATTTCTGCCACCAGTGGCTGAAACCACAGGAACAGACCAAATATCAGATCCTGGACCTGGTGGTCTTGGAGCAATTCCTGAGCATCCTTCCCTCAGAGATGGAGAGCTGGGTCAAGGAATGTGGGGCAAAGACCTGTTCCCAGGTAGTGGCCCTGGCAGAAGGTTTCCTTCTGAGTCAGGCTGAGAACAAGAAACGGGAAGTACAGGTTAGAGCATTTCTTTTTGGTTTCTCTTAAATTGAGGTGGATGGATTGATTTAATGTATATCCTTCCTTTCTCTCAAGATGTGGTAATAATCAGCACATCACTCCACTGCCCCCTTTTTTTCACCTCCTCTGCCCCAACTGCTGCTACCCCCATAGTCACTGCCAACTCTGATGCTTCTCTACTGAAATTTGGTGCTCCTAGAAGTGGCTTTGAAAGCAAGGAGGGTGTGGAACATGGGCTTTGTTTCAAAGTGGACTCTCCCCTTCAAAGGCCTTTTAGCAAAATGATTCTTCTTTAATACAAGGTCCAGGCTCCTTGTGTCCCTTGTTTTCAAAGAACTTCCAGATGTTCTTGGTGCCACTACTGTACAACCAGAGGTGGCAGTGTGGTGATTTTGCAGTTCAGGGAAAAAACATGTTTCTACCCATACCAGAAATTGCCTACTCCCACTGTGAGTGGTAAAACTTGCTACAATTGCCAATCTTTTTCTTCCAGTATTTGTGCATGGGTATATAATTAAAATTTTAAAACTTATTTTCTCATTCTTCTCCATATTCTCCCTACTCTTTCAGAGAGAAGTTCATTTTGATCTCCCTGAATCAGAGGAGTCTGCATCAGATATCACCCAGAAGCCCCAGCAGAGGGAGTTGAAGCAGGAGGGGGACGGTATGGTGGTCCTACAAGGTAAGGAGGAATCCTCTCTGGCATAATTATCTTTGTGTTTTATGCCTGCGTAAGTTCCTCGCTGGGAGCAGTTGGGCATTTTTTGTCTGGTGTGGCACATTTGTAATCAGTTTGAGATTGTAGTAGTGGAAGTTTGCGCCTTGAGATGTGCATCTAGATGTGCATTTGTTTCCAAAATGTTGCAGTTCAACACAAGAGTTGCATGTTTCAGTCACAGCTAAACAGTTTATTTCTAGATACAACTTATAATGCTGATAATAGCCTACAAAGCCCAGCATGGGTGAGGTCCTAACTCACTTAATAATAATAATAATAATAATAATAATAATAATAATAATAATAATAATAATAATAATAAATTTTATTTATATCCTGCCCCTCTGTCAGACAATCGAGGCGGCTTATATCATTAAAACTTAGCACAGTGTAAAATACAATCCCAAACCCGTAAACTTTCCCACCCCTTAAAACAGAATTAAACCATGATTAAATTAAAACATATTAGTTAAAATCAGTTTAAATTATAAAAAGTCTAGTTGGTGGTAAAAGACTGAACAAAGACAGCAAGTCAAATAAAGATACAGCAGGTCAATTAAAGAATAGGACTCTGGACCCTGGACTCTGGAGGCCGGAAGATCTAATCAGGAAAGGCCTGCCGGAAAAGATCCGTCTTCACAGCTGTTTTAAAGCTGTTTAAGTTGGTGATCTGACAGATCTTGTCTGGCAGGCTGTTCCATAATCTGGGAGCGGTAGCCGAAAAAGTCCTCTGGGAGATCGTTGACAGCTTGAGTTTTGAGATCATCAGGGAACAGCTTTCTCTTGGTCCCCAAACCTTCACAGGTATGTTTGGTGAGCCTTCCCATTGGCTGATCCTAGCCTTTGGAACAGTCCTCCACTGGTCACTAGGCTGGCCCACTCCCTATTCTCTTTCCACTAACAGAAGACATTTTCTTTTGAGCAAACATTTGTTGACTTTGTCTCCAGAATGGTCTTTAATGCGGTATGTGTGTTGCATTTTTATTGTCATGGCTTTTCTTGTAAAATATAGTTTGCTCACACAGATAAATTTAAACAGAAAAAAGACAGAAATATAGGCAAACAAGAAAGAAAGAAAAAAGATTATAAATTCTATCAGGTTTATTAATTAATCTGCTTCCATTAAATCCAACAATTTATCTTTCCATTCTTTGACAGCTAAAATCTTCTATTGCTGCCAATATTTTCTGTAAACCAGTTTTGTTCTTGTCATAGTTTTAAATAGTTTTAAATTGTTTTATAGTGTTCATGTTGTAATATGCTAGATAGTGGTTTTTAAAGTCTTTTTAATTAATGTACTTTTAATTCACGTTTTAAACCATCTTGTCTGATGTTGCTGAACCCTTCATTTGTTTTAAATTATTGAGCTCACCTGCTTGGTTAGTCAATTGTGATATATTTATTCTTCACTAGTGCCTTCTTTGCTCTGCTGTCTTTTCACTTGTTTATTCATTTTATTTTAAACAAGGATGTGAGTTAATTTGTATCACAAGTGTTGATGTAGAGGATTGTCTACTTATTACATACTTCACAGGCTTGCTCCTCATATTGTATGAGTAATTTCCATATGATTCTATTGATGTTTGCCTTTTTCCTCTGTCTTCATACTCTTCTGTTGATCTGCTGTATTTTACATCAAGTTTAATACATGATAAACTGTCCCAATTAATTATTCTAGGTATTTCCTGGGAAAAGTAGGTAATCTTTAGTATGACTTTGAGCTCCTTCCTTTTACTTTCTATCAATATATTGATATTTAGCCTTTGCTCCCAGGGACTCAAGACCTTGTTGCTCTCTACCTCACCATGTTAGTCTCAAAATAACAACAATGTGAAATAGATTAGGGTAAGAGACAGTAGCTGACAAAAGTCCTCCAATGAATAAGGATCCTTGGTGGCACAGTGGTTAAATGCTGGTATTGCAACCACAGCATTGTATATTTGATCCTAGAGGCAGGCTCCAAGGTCCACTCAACCTTCCATCCTTTTATTGGTCAGTAAAATGAGTACCCAGCTTGTTGGGGGCAATTGGCTTACACATTGTATATCACTCAGTGGGTGCTAGTTCATTGATAAGTGGTATAGAAATGTACTTGCTATTGCTATTGTTATTTCATGGCACAGTGGAACTTAGAACTGTCCCAAGCCATAGTCCAGTCCCCCCTCCTCAGCACTGGACCAAAATATCCTATAGATTTTACTGGGATGCAGCTATTATCTTGAAAGGCATGACTTTCCACAAGTTTCTTTTAAGGATTGCAGTTGTAACTTCTGAGAGATACCTGTATAATCAGCTTCCCCCCAACCTTGCTCTCTCCCATAGGGGCTGGAATGAAGGAACTAAAAAATACTGAATCTCCTCTTCCTCTTTGCGATGGAGTGGAACCTGTTCAGGTACAGAGAAGGATTCTTGGGACAGGGGGATTGAAGCAGCCAGAATTTCCTCTGTTTTGGGCTCACATCCCTGGTAGCTGTGAGAGATAAATTTGTTTAGAGTTTTAAAAATGTCAAAAGTACATGGATTTCTTCATATTCTTAATGAAAAGAAGTGGCACTTTTAAAAATACGAACATGGGATGTACTTAAAGCGACAGGTTCATCCACCCTGGCCCTGGAGTTTGAGCACTTAACTCTTAAAAGGCTAGGTTGGAATCCCTTTGTGTTCCATCAAGCTAGTCATGAGCATTTTTTAAATTTTATTTTTAAATAATTACGCAAAGTAAAACAGCATTTTAAGGCTTTCAGTTACATACCAAGATGTTATTACAGCAATAATGAAATTAAAAAAGGAAACAATTACTCATAAATTTCAATAGAAGCAGGCCAAATATCTGAATATAAATCTGTTTGTAAATTAAGTTGATTCATCAGTTTCTCATATGGTGCAAGTGTTAAGTCTTCTATCCATTGGACCACAGACAGGGAGCTGTTATCTCGCCAAAAGAGTATCAGTGTTAATAGCAGTCAAGAGGGCATGCACTGACCATTTGTTATATTTGAAGACATGAGTAAATAGTTTAAAAGAATATATGGCTCACTGAATACCAATCTAGTCAGTCATTTATTGTGTCTGACTCAAAGCCGTTACAAATCCAATAAAATATATACTACATGAACATGTACATCCATACAAAATATCAGATTAATTAATCCCCTGCACAGTCTATAGCAATATCTTCCAAATAACTAGCATGAATACTTTTAACAGCTTT